ATCTTGAGGTGACAGTGAGTCATGATGTTAAGACCACGGTCCATTGCCGTGCGGCCGCAGCTAAAGGGTTTCGAACCGTCTGGGCTTTAAAACGGACATTCACCAAGTTAGATACTACCATGTTCGCCACAGTATACACAACCTCAATGAGAACTTAGCTTGCGAACTGCGTTCAGGCTGCAAGCCCCTGTTTAAAAGGTGACTCGGATATCCTGGAAGAAGTACAGAATGCAGCTACTCGTGCAATTACAGAACTTCGGGTTTACTATACAAAGATCTGCTTGAAAATATAAATGGTTCAAATGGTTGTGGACGGAATAGAAGAAGCTTTCGCTTAACAGGCTTCCGTGTCTAGTAGCAGGGGATCACGAAATCCTCCAGGCAGGAACCTAGGTATGTTAGCAATAAAAGAGGAAAAGAAATTGGTAAATCATAGTGTGATGCTGTCCTTGGTCCTTAAGAATAGGTCAAGTTGCCTCTTGAAGGACTCCTGAGAAGTCGTTTGGACTAGCTCGGCCGGCAGCGAATTCCAGCTTTTGACAACTCTTAAGGAGTAGAAGTTGTGTCTACATTCCGTCTTGCTATGTTGTGTTTCCAGTTTCTGGGTGTTACCCCTTAGGTTATTATTCGAACTAAGCTTAAGTAGGTGTTTAAGAGGATGTCCAGAAGTGTTAAGAATACTATAAGCCATTAATAAATCACCTCTAAGACGCCTATATTCTAGTGGGTAAAGGTCTAGTGAACGAAGGCGTTCTTCGTAAGGCTTAGATTTGAGTCCTCGAACTGATTTCGTGGCTCACCGTTGGATACGCTCCAAAGTGACCTTGTCCTTTTGGAGTGAGGGGGGAGTACTATGTTTCCGTACTCTAAATGGGGACGGATGAAACTATTGAAGATTGTGTGGAAAGTTCGTCCGTCAAACTGTCCAAAAATGCGCTTCAACGTTACCAGTGCAAGGTTTGCTCGGAAGGCATTTTTGTCACAGTTATCGTAAGACTTTAAGTCATGGGGCACCAGGACTCCTAAATCTTTTTCGACTTGGGATACTACTAGAGAGGAGTTTCCTAAGTTGTAACTGTAGTTTGCGACATGTCGCAGACGGACTACTTTACACTTTGAAGTGTTAAAGGTAAGTCCGTTATCGTCTGCCCAACTTTGAAGTCGAGTCAGATCCTCTTGAAGTGCCTGTATATCGTCTTGGTTGCGTATCTCTCTCCAAAGTTTCACGTCGTCGGCAAAAAGTAATAAGTCTGACGTTACCTGTTGAGGAATATCATTTATGTAGATCAAGAAGAGAAGAGGCCCCAGTACTGAGCCCTGGGGACCCCACTAGGACATTCCATAGCCTGAGATAAAGTGAAATTAACCCTGACCTTAAAGTGTCGATTTTTCAGGTATGAAGAAAGCCAATCGATTAGATGTGGTTTGATACCTAGTCGTTTGAGCTTATTCGTAAGACACAAGTGGTTAACCTTATCAAAAGCTTTTGAGAAATCAAGGTAAATGATATCAACCTTTCCCTTGCGATCGAGGATGCCTGTCCATCTGTCCACCGCAGTCAGCAGGTTGGTCATACAAGAGTAACCCTTCCTGAAACCATGCTGTTGGGGTGAGAAGAAATTAAAGGACAGAAAATAGTCATGTATACCATCGCATATCAGGGACTTCACGAGTTTTGAAGGTATCGAGAGAAGAGTCACCGGTCGGTAACTTGAAAATTGGTGTGATGTGAGCCAGCTTCCTATCTTCCGGTAGTTTTCCTCGGCTTAGCGAGTGTGAGAGCATCACGCTAAGCGGCATTGCCAGGATTGAGGCTGCTTCCCTTAGTATAGCAGACTGGACCATATTCGGGCCAGGATAAGTGTCAAGTCTTATGTGCTACAGTTTCCGGAACACCAAGTCAGCTCTCAGGTTCACTTCGGGGAGTCCTTTGGAGTTGCAGATGAAGCTTTCGTCAGTATAGTTGAAACGTTGAAATGTCCGAGAGTAGTGTTCAGCCAAAAGGTTAGCGGCGTCGCTGTCGTTGTTGGTCTGACCGTTAAAACCTAGCAGCTGGGAAACTCCAGTTTTGGCTTGACGAAGAGAGGCTGCATAACAGAATAAGCTTTTCAGATTGAAGACAAGTTTATCCATAAGCTTCATCTGGTATTGGAGCCTACCTTCGTGCATATGTTCCTTATATGTTTGTATTGCCTGTACGCGCCGTTGTTGTCAGTTCGTTTGTATTCTGCCCAACAGTGCCTTTTGCGGCTTAGCAGAAGAAGAGTGCGGATTTTGATGATTGTGGGTTGCTGATAGCTTTGGAGGACCGTTTGAGGAACTGAATGATTTGAAGTACATATGAGCGTGTGCAGTAAGAAGTCCCAATGAGCATCTACATCGAGTTGAAGGTGAATATCCCAATCCACCTGTTGTAGATAGTATTGTAGAGCTGAAACATTCAAGCGTTTGAAATTCAAGCGCAAGTTTTTGGTGGTTTATATTAGCTCAATTTCGGTGGCCAAACTGTAAGCTATAACGTCGTGATCGCTTTTTCTCAAGGGAGCCAGGATTGAGAGGTCGTCAATTAAGAATTCTTCGTTTGTAAATACACAGTCTAAGCGCGATGGTGTCTGACTGTTTCTCCAACGAGTTGCTGGCCTCACATTTTCGTATAATCCCAGATCCTCAATGAGGTTGAAGAATCGAGCTTCAGCTGAGTTTTCACCTCCAATATACGTATGTATCTAGACCTCTTTCCTCTACCCTATAGCAGACTAAAGGGAGCTCCAATTTTGATGTATAGAATACTAAGAAATCATTTTTGACCTAACATAATCTCTCTTTTCCTTCCCACTAGATCGGATCATCTCAGAGGACATAGCGGGCGAGTAGAAAGGCCAAGAACGAACAAAATACCTGTGGCATACGGGTTTTCACACCAAGTCATAAATACTTGGAACTAAGAGAAGCGATGGAATTCCATCACTTTTGATACGAGACAATCCGTTAATCTTAGCAGAGAATGATGCCGAAAAAGCTGAAGCTTTATCGGAATATTTTAGTAAAGTGTTTCCTATCGGTAATGAGGAACGACCAATGATTCATCGTGACCGTGACGGCTCGCTGATGGATCCTGTAGTCATTGAGAAAGATACTGTTTTAAGGCTACTTCAGCATCTCAAACCTGATAAGTCCAGTGGTCCCGATGATATTCATCCTAGGATTATGAAAGCCATATCAGATGAAATTGCTGAACCATTAGCGATACTATTCGACATGTCTCTGAGACAGTCCAAACTTCCTAGAGACTGGAAAGACGCCATAATAAGTCCGGTGTATAAGGCTGGGAGTAGGGATTTAGTTAGTAACTATAGACCCGTTAGCTTAACTAGTGCAGTTGTGAAACTGATGGAGAAAATCATTCGGATAGCTGTTATAAACTATGTTGAAGGGCAAAATCTTTTCTCCAGGGCACAACATGGTTTTCAGAAAGGCCTATCTTGCTTGACAAATCTTCTCATTGCACGAGAAGAGTGGGCTGCGGCAAAGGATCAGAATGCTCCTGTGAATGTAATTTTCATAGATCTAAGTAAGGCCTTTGATAAGGTTTCACACTCTGGTCTTAAATTCAAACTGAAACGTTTTGGAATCCATAACACAGTCGTCGATTGGATAAGTAACTTTCTCCATGGCAGGAGACAAAGAGTAAGGGTTAATGGGGCTCTCTCCTCGTGGGTACCTGTAAAAAGTGGGGTTCCCCAAGGCACAATCCTAGGTCCTCTTCTCTTTTTACTTTATGTAAATGAATTGCCAACTGTAGCAAAATCATCCGTTCTACTCTTCGCTGATGACACAAAGATTTGGAGACCCATACATAGTATGTCGGATAGAATAGTATTACAGGACGATCTTAGGTCATTGGTGGCATGGCTAGACAGGTGGTCACTAGAAGTAAATCCTAATAAGAGTGTAGTGATGCAGTTAAATAACTCTGATGAATCGTATGACTATACACTACGTGGATTCGTGCTACCCAAAGTAAGAAACTATAAAGACTTAGGAGTTATATTAAGCAATGATCTCAAAACGACTAGTCACTGTAAGGCTGCTGATGCAAAAGGCTATAGGGTATTATGGTCAATTCGTAGGTCTTTTCAGTATTTAGATGATGAAATGTTTGGATTACTATACCCGATTTACGTGCGACCACATTTAAAATACGGGATTCAAGCAGCGAGTCCTTGTTTCAAATATGAAGCAGATATGCTAGAAAGAGTCCAACGACGAGCTACTAAGATGGTACAAGGTCTAGCTGGCCTATCTTATGAAGACAGACTGAGACACCTTAACTTATTTCCGTTATCTTACCGTAGAGTACAGGGTGATCTAATATTGGCTTATCGTATACTGAACGATGACCTTGGTATTAACATGTCTTATCTTTTGCTTCCGTCTAGAACCGATCATTTGGAGGACATTCGAAGAAAGTTCAAAAACCGAGATCAAACCGTTTACGTCTGGAGTTCCGTTTCTCGCACCGAGTAGTGAATTACTGGAATTCCCTACCGGAACACGTAATATCAGCACCGTCTGTTAATATATTCAAAACGAAATTGGACCTCCACAGTATTACAAACTGCAAGGATTAATATAGGTCGACAGACCTCCTATCCTTATTACTGAAGACTGAAGACTGTTACCCAAAGCAGTGGTGTCCGCACCTTCAATTGGCTCATTCAAGAGAAGACTGGACACTCACAGAAGCATAATAGAAAAGAAATAACATGGGCCATAGGCCTGATTACACAAATCTGAATATGAAACTTGTCATATTTTTAAGGACTCAGAACTATATCACGTTATAATTTGCGAGCATTGTTGCTCTTTTATCGTTAAATACACCTAGGTCGTAAACTGGATGCATCGGTGATCCACTACTACTAGATACGAAAAGCCATTAAGAGGAGCTTATACTCTGTCCAGAACCACTTGACTCATTTTCGGCCCGGCAGTTTCGAATGATGACCAAGAAGTCGAGGAATGACCTCCTAAACTTTCTTAAGGCTGTTGGGTAATATATCCCTGTTTTTGTTTATTTTTTTGCCAGCAAAAGCTACGAATCAAGAACTTTTCTTGAGAAGGACAATGAATTCTCATCAGTAGTTAGTGATTTGGTGTTTGAACTGGGCAAATCTCACATCTCTTCGAATGTTTATCCACTTACAGGTTACAGGTTCATTTTTGTTATGCAATAAATTTCAGACGAGTATGAATATACCAACTTCGCAAACAGCTTGGAAAAGTTCCTGATATCTTATGGTGAGTTATAATTAATTGTAAATTAGACAGTATGCTCACGAGATTCAGACGAGAACGTTAGAGAATCCAGTGAATTTCTTAAGTCCCATTAATAAAATGTCTCAGTGCCTCAAATTCATTTAAGAATATAAGCAACATGAAAATCAAGTGCTTGGTAAAGTCCACCAATTTATTGTGATTTGGTGATTATTGCTTAACCTTCACTAAACCACTTAGATTTCAAAGCAGATTATACAGTACTTCACTAAGAAAGGGCTGGTGGTGGATTTTTGACATCGCTTCATAAACCTAGAATTTTGATTATGTAACTCGTTTATGAAATACAGTTTTATTTATTCGACTTTGGCTGTCACCAGCATTTTCAAACTCAAGCGGTGTTCCTCGGAGTTGCCCACTGTCTAATCAGTCTTAATGGGTTGGTGTCTGACGAGATCTCAGCACGGATTCAAAAAGCCCGTTTAGCTTTTGCTAACTTACGTCACCTATGGCGAAGGCGAGATGTCCGTCTATCAATTAAGGGACGAGTATCCTGCGCAGTAGTTCGGTATGTTTTACTTTACGGCTGCGAAACGTTGCTATTAAGGGTAGAAGATACTCGTAGACTACCATTATTTGTCCACAGATGTCTTAGAAATATTGCTCGCATCTACTGGGATCACCGGGTAACTAATAATGAGGTTAGACTCAAGGTATTAGGGAACGGCGGTAAATCACTTGATGGGGTTGTGAATCCTCGTAGACTGAGATGGTTGGGCCACGTATTACGTATGCCTGAACACCGATTACAACGAAGTGCAATGCTGAGTAGGGCTGGGGATGGTTGAAAGAGAGTTAGGGCGGCCAAACCAAAACGTGGCATCAGTGCTTGAAGTCACTAACTTCTAATCTGAGCCATGTTAGTGATATAGACTACTTGGTTGGGGTCCACGTGACTTCCGTAACCAATAGTTGGAGAGTTTGCTTGACATGACTCAGAATCGATCACAATGGCGTCGGTGTATACACTCTGTTTTCCCGTAAACCGTGAGATTAAAATTGCTTTATATCTTTCTTTCTACGAACTAATTCTTTCTCCCCGTATCATATCCTCACATGCAATCTTTTTTATATATTAGTGCCATTGAAGTAACTGCTTCTATGAATTTGGTGTTCATGTTGTTGTGCTAATGAGATATTGCAACTTGGACCGATGCATGTATGTTCCTGATCCTACGTTGTGACTAACTGACTAAGATGTTTATTTATTCATAAATTTTCAAATGGATAACCGTTTAGTTGATAAATTAAAAAAAAAACCATAAACAAATAAATAAATAAGAAAGAAAATTATTCTCAGTCGTGATTCTGTTTTGTTTCTTTTTTCTTTAAAATGTAAAATAAACTTTCATTAGATAATATATACAGTTTCAATGTGTGAGTGAGTTTGCCGTTCATCTTGTTATGCAAATGAGGTATGGCAGCTTGGACTGATGCATGTATATGCCTGGTCATATGTCGTAGTCGAATGACTGACTGCACTTTGATGAGAACATTTATGATATGACTAACAATTATTCGAAATCTCGTAAATCGGTTCTAAACCTAGTGGTTAATTTTTTATGTTTTCACTAATTAGTTATGGGAATAGCAAGTCGAGTGTTCTTTTGTTCATGTGCTTGTATTATTTATGATACGTTGTGTACTGCTACAGAGGCTACTGCTGCACTGGCTGTATTCACCTACATTTGTTGGTGTGTATGAGATAAAAGGCTTAGGTCATCTGCAAAGTCCAAATCGTTTAGTTACATCGAAACTGTCCATTGTATTCCGTGTTCACCCTAAGATATAGTGGTCTTCATAATCTAGTCAACCACCAGAAGAAAGATAAACGACGAGAGTAAGCAGCCTTTTCTGACACCGGTACTCACTTGGAATACATCTGTCAGCTGTCCTCCACCTATGAATTTTCACTGTAGTCCGTCGTATGACTTCCGTATGATGTTGACGATCATCTCAGTTACACCATAGTGTCGATGGGGGTTCCATAAGTTTCTCCTATCCATATTGTCGAATACTTTCTCATAGTCAAGTAAGTTGATGTATGGTGACGAGTTCCATTCAGTTATTGTCCAACAATGATCTGTAGTGTCATCTAACACAGTAGGTCAACAAATGTTGAAATGTTGGCACGTAAAGAAAAGAGCCAGCATGACTTTCATGAAATTATGAGACTTGTAGCGTAGGCTTGTTGTCTGTCTGACTATCAGATGGTAAGTCTACTTTCAAGTATTTTACTCTATATCATTTTAAATTTAAAAATTCATTGGTTAGTTTTTCATAAGTTGCTCGTGTTCCCTCGCAGATGTTTTTGAAGTATTGCTCACGTATAGTGATACTGTTAAACTGATTAAAGTCAAATTATATTATTATGCTTCGACACAATAACTGGGAGTTAGATCAACAAATTTTAATTATTTTTCATCTAACTTAGTAATCACGTGCAGGTGTGTGTGAATTACCTGGGAACAGAAACAAGTGGATTAGGCTTCAAACCAGAAACCTTGTAGTTGTTTCTCGAGTCTTTTAACCACTAGGGCATCGCTGACACTAGTTATTGATTATTTTGTGACTTATCGGATATCCTGTTTGACAAGGTGAACTCCTTTCACCAAGTGATCTTTTTGTTTTGTTTTAAAGGTTGCCCATATTCAGTGCTAACAGAAGGACCTATTTCTGACCGCTTTTCTTCTGTTAATAATCGTAGTTTGCTTTTACGTGAGTCTAACCCTTCTATATGTTTTAACTGTGTAATTGCTTCATAGATAAAATCTTAGTTTGTTTAAATTCATGGCAAATTACGTTTAGGATAAGTTATTATTTATTGTTCTGTGTAAAAGTTTAAAATGGCACTCGATTGTTTCCAGAATGAGGTGAAAATGAGTTTTTAACTCAGTAAGTTTCTACTACTCCTACTACTATTCTTACATTTATTCTTATAATTTCGTCGCACTATACTGTGGTATGGGAAGTTAAACTGATGTGCATATGCGTCAGTTTTTATCCTGCTCATTGTTGATGGATTGACTGTTTATACATACAATAAATGCTATTACTCAACCATGATACATAATGCAAGGGGATGTGGTACAACCATTGTCTCGGTTTCACATTTTGTTCTTGTTTTTCTTTCTCAGAATATCTATGTTCAGAGATAATGGCTGTTAGACAATTATCTACAATGAAGTCTGTTGGTAAACAAAGTGACGAACATCATTTCATGGATGTGGACAGTTCGGAGGATAAAGTAGAAATTCTATCCTGTTTGCAGAAAGCGTTTAAAGCTCTTAGCTTAAAAGTGCCTCCTGATGACTCAGCACCTACTGTTATATATTCTTGTCTTCAAAAAGGTGTAAGTGATTATAAACGGTGCATAGCTTATACAGATGTTCGTTTCGTTCATGCTTTGTATTTCGGAAGTGTTTTCTAATAAATCCTAATAGTATCGTACATTTATTAATTTGTGTTTGGATAATTTGTGGCAAAATCGAACTATTTACCATTTCATATGACTGGATACTAGTTGCATGAGTAGGGTGGTTGGAGACACTTGCAGAACATTACAGTCGTCAAAAGGATGGATAGGAAAGCAACTGGAAAAAATTGAGAGGGATCTCCCAGTACAGAGTTCAATGGAGAATGCTGGTGGGCGGCATATGCTCCTTTGTGAGGGTTAACAGGTGTAAGTAAGTAAGTACGGTCGTCTAACATGTTTTCATTCTTTTCTAGGTGCTTCAAGACAACATCAGGGAATATTAGTGGTTTTTATCTTTTTAACAATATACTAAGCTGTCTTTATCATCATTACCCTGTGTCCTCGTCCTTTTGCCGTTACCATTCATTTTTATCACAATATACTTACTTACTTACTTACGCCTGTTACTCCCTATGGAGCATAGGCCGCCGACCAGCATTCTCCAACGCACTCTGTCCTGAGCCCTCTTTTCTATTTCCATCCAGTTCTTGTTCATTTTTCTCATGTCTGTCTCCATTTCTCGGTGTAATTTGTTCTTTGGTCTTCCTCTCCTCCTTTGGCTTTAAGGATTCCATGTGAGGGCTTGTCTTGTGATGCATTTGGGTGCTTTCCTCAATGTATGTCCTATCGACTTCCAGTGCTTCTTCCTGATTTCTTCCTCCGCTGGGATCTGGTTTGTTCTCTCCCACAGTAGGTTGTTGCTAATAGTGTCCGGCCAACGGATTTGAAGTATTTTGCGTAGACAATTGTTAATAAACACCTGTATTTTCTGGATGATGGGTTTCGTAGTTCTCCAGGTTTCTGCCCCATACAGTAGAACTGTGTTGACATTTGTATTGAAAATCCTGACCTTGGTGTCGGTTGACAGTTGCTTTGAGTTCCAGATGTTCCTCAGTTGTAAATATGCTGCTCTTGCTTTGCCGATCCGCGCTTTCACATCTGCATCTGATCCACCCTGTTCATCAATGATGCTGCCTAAATATGTAAAGGTTTTTACATCTTCCAAATCTTCTCCGTCAATTGTGATTGGATTGGTGCATTCTGTATTGTATCGGAGAATCCTGCTTTTCCCTTTGTGTATATTGAGACCTACTGCTGCTAAGGCTGCTGCCACACTGTTCGTCTTCTGCATTTGTTGTTGCATTTGGGATAGAAGGGCCAGATCATTTGCGAAGTCTAGATCGTCCAACTGCATCCTAGATGTCCATTGTATCCCGCGCTTCCCTTCAGATGTTGATGTCTTCATGATCCAGTCGATCACCAGGAGAAAGAGAAAGGGTGAGAGTAAGCAACCTTGCCTAACACCGGTCTTCACTTCGAACGACTTTGTCAACTGTCCTCCATGCACGATTTTGCAGTGTAATCCATCATATGAACTCTGTATGATATTGACTATTTTCTGAGGCATTCCGTAGTGTCGAAGAAGTTTCCATAGTGTTGTTCTGTCCACGCTGTCAAATGCTTTTTCGTAGTCAATGAAGTTGATGTGGAGCGATGAATTCCATTCAATTGATTGTTCCACAATGATCCGTAGAGTTGCGATTTGGTCTGTACACGATCTATCCTTACGGAATCCTGCCTGTTGGTCACGAAGTTGAGCGTCTACGCAGTCCTTCATCCTGTTTAACAATACCCTGTTGAAGACTTTTCCCGGTATTGAGAGAAGAGTGATGCCCCTGTAGTTATCACACTTGCTGAGATCGCCTTTCTTCGGTATTTTGATCAGGAGTCCTTCTTTCCAGTCTGTTGGTACTTGTTCCTCATCCCAAATCTTATTGAAGAGAATGTGGAGTATCCTTGCAGTTGCCGCTACGTCTGCTTTCAGTGCCTCTGCTGGGATGTTGTCCGGTCCTGCTGCTTCGCCACTCTTGATTTGCCTGATAGCCATGCTTATCTCTTCAATTGTTGGTGGACCAACATCGAATGGGTGGTCCGTGGGTGCTGTTTCGATGTTGGGTGGGTTCAGTGGGGCTGATCGATTCAAGAGTTCTTTTGAACTATAGTCTACTTCGATATTAGTACTGCTCTGATAATAAACCTGATCCTGAAATTGTAGAGTTGTTATGATGTAAGTACCTAATCTAAAACATCTTACGTAGAAGTCACATCATTGTCTACCCTGATTCATTGCAATGTAACAATCACCAATATAAGCTTAGACCAGAGATAGAGCAATATATTTAATATGAATAAAAAGCATAAGATAACATTTAACAAAGTTCACTATTGCTAGGCCAAGCCATGCCATCCGACAAATTCGAATTCATTGGATCATCTCATGTGTCCTTTGATTACAACCTTTTCCGCCGTCATTGCTAGACCTTCCACATATTTACGTCGGTCGGTTCTGATGCTCTTCTTCACTTGTTTGTTAACTTCTGTGTATTCAGCTTGTGCCTTGGTTTTTTCTGCTCTTGTTCGGCTGGTATTGATTGCTGCCTTCTTGTTCCTCTTTTCTTGAATCTTATCCAGTGTATCAACAGTGATCCATTCCTTGTGATGGTTCTTCTTGTGACCCAGGACCTCATGACATGTTGAAGTGATTGCCTCTTTGATCCCCTTCCAGTTTCTCTCCACAGTAGTTCCTTCTCCATTGAGTAGATCATGAAAGGCCTGGAACTTGTTGCTGAGGACTATCTTGAATTTGTTGAGTTTGTTAGTATCCTGAAGAAAGGCCGTATTGAACTTTTGTGATATTGTCCGCCCCGTTCAGTGCTTCTTGAGTTTCAATTTCATCTTGGCGACCAGCAAGTGATGATCTGATGCTATATTAGCTCCTCTCTTGGTTGTCACGTCCTCTATAGTCCTCCTGAACGTTTTGTTGATGCAAATATGGTCGATTTGGTTTTGTGTAGTGTGATCCGGTGAAGTCCATGTGGTTTTGTGTATGCGTTTATGTGGGAATATGGTGCCGCCTATGACCAGCTTATTGAAGGCACATAGATTTGCAAATCTCTCACCATTTTTGTTTCTTTCTCCCAGTCCGTGTCGTCCCATGATGTCTTCATATCCAGTGTTGTCCGTTCCAACCTTGGCATTTAAGTCGCCCATCAGAATGGTCAGGTCCTTTGTTGGGCACTTCTCGACGATTGACTGCAGCCTATTGTAGAATTGATCTGTAGCGTCTTCATTGTAATCGTTGGTAGGCGCATAGCATTGGATGATGTTCATTGAAATGCCCTCTTTCTTTGTTTTGAACGAGGCTTTGATGATTCTTGATCCATAAGATTCCCATCCTATAAGTGCATAATATGCTTGTTTGGACAGCATCAATGCAACTCCTTGTGTATGTGGAGCATTTACTTCTTCATGGCCGGAGTATAACAGGAGCTCTCCTGTAGTTAGTCGTTGTTGTCCAACTTGTGTCCAATGTGTTTCACTGATCCCAAGTACCTCTTGGTTGTATCTTCTCATTTCTGCAGCAATTTGGAAGGCTCTCTCGGTCTCCCACATTGTACGAGCATTCCATGTACCTAAATAAATGGTCGCTCTGGTTGTCAGAAGGGGCATCGGCCTTGCAACTTCCGAAGGAATTCGGCTTTCATCATGAGGCGTCATAGTTCTTCTAAATGAAGACCTTCTGACTCCCAGGGCAGAGATTAAAAGGTTTGAATACTGTTTTCTGGTTAGCGTTTTTTTAGCGATTTAGTTTTCTACGGGATTGGGACGCTAACACCATGCCCATCCCTCCTCCTTTATCTGGGCTTGGGAGCAGCAGTAGCCCCTGGAGGGACTTCAGGCGAAGTTATCACAATATATTCGAATTTATTCCCTGCCATTGGGTTATTCAAATCTATCATCTTTGCAACACTGTTTCTCTTACAGTCATACCTACATTTTCAAGTGTCGAAACTAAATACCAGATTGAGTTTATTGAAATTTGTCTCAAGATGTGGATGTATATTGAAATTTTCAAACAAACATACATATTTAACTGTGACTGTTTATTCCAGCTTTCCTTGCAACCCTGTAAACCTCAAAGTATTCTGTTGCGTTCCATCGCCTCTTAACTATCACGTGATAAAATCACTAACCAATATCATGTCAAACAGCACTGGTAGGCTGGAGTTAATTCCGATTACTTGTTGGCCTTCTGTATAGTAGCTTCTCACGTAACCGAGCTCGTTCAGTCCGGAACACAAATATCAACCTCCACTATATGGATCTTATATTTCAGACGTACTTGGTTTATACACAAGCGGACCAGACCCCATCACACCATAAAATAAAAAATAACAATTATGCAAAATCAAGCTGAAATTGGCTGTGTGTGGGAGACAGTAACTGATAAATTGAGAATAACTGGAGAATAGTAAATCGTATAGCATTAGCCAATAAGTCAAATGAAAGCTTATGATGAAAGGAATGTAGATATATTTATATATATAATCTAGTTACTTAATAATTATCCGGTAAGAATATACGTAACAATAGTCTATAAACAACCCTCAGCAGTTACCATTCATTTATTTTTTGTTCGGTTATAACATATTGGAGTCTAGGGGTTCCATAGATCAACTCGTTTTAGAGTGAAATTGAAGGCTTATTCGCTAAAGCACTCTGCTTTGAACTATTAAGTATCAGGTTCGAGTTGCAATAGCCATTTGGACAACCGAATGATATCGAAAGTTATAGCTTGCAGTCGAATACATAAATATGTCAGTCAGTCAGTCAGTCATAAGCAACACCAAACTTTGAATCTGCTAGACCTCACCAACATAAGGAGATACAATTAACATGATGAATACTGAAGTAGTAGAATCTGTACGGGATAAGTCACATTGATTTTTTTATGAATAACGTTTATTAACAACGTTGTTTTCGACGGAATGCGGTTACTAACCCCGTGTCAGTCCCGGTTTTGGACCGAAAGTATCCCTAAAAGGGCCTCAGGAGGAGTTACATTATTTGAGCATATACATAATTCTTCTTATAAAGCAGGAATCTAACTTCTTGACTGGCACAAATGATATCCATGTATTCTGTTTTTCTTTCGAATAACTCTGTCAGGATACGAAAATAACATCACAGGTTGTTTATTGATATCCTGTCACTTACTGTGGTAGATAGATGAGAACTACGTAGTTGGGGGTGGGTCCTCATGACTATCGTAACAAACAGTTGAAAATGTTTGCTAAGGTGGTTTAAAATCAGTCATACTAACAAAAATGCATTTAGTATTTTCCCTAAACTACTTATACTTCTCATTTCACAAATCCATTTTTTCTCGAATGTATATGCTCAGTATTTTCTACCAAAACTGATACTGTTACTCCTACTACTACTCTAGCATTTGTTTTAATAGTTTCACTTCACTATACTGATAAGATGTGGTCAGTTGAGCCGAGTGAGTTTAGTGATAGGTACCACACTGTTTGAGGAGGAAGTCGAAAAAGGAAGTTTAGAGGTGAAAGTCGATGTAGGAGGAGTAATAGGAAGTGAAGACGGAGGTTGATTAGGAATACAATGGTCTTGAGTGCTGTTAGATGTATGAGGGTGGTTATCACTTCCCGGTTGCCCACACCGTGGAAGGGTTGTTCTGGAGGTACCTGAAAAGGAAATTGGATTAGAGATGGTCTTAGTAACCTGGGAGCGTGACCGCAGTGCTCAAGGGACAACTGCTTGAGGTCGGTAACACACGGCCTTTTTATGGGTGATGTTTGTGTTAGCTCCGTATTTTTTGGGACCTTACCACCGGAGACGGATATCCGTGGGATAAGGCGAGGTGTGCATTTTTAGGGTCGACCTTTTCTAACCCCACCCCTCCTTGTGGGAAGGCAGCATCGCTGTCATGCTGGTTGTCTGAAGGAAACACCTTACTGCTTTCACACCTGTACAGTGAGCAGTACAACTTCCCCTTCGGACCTTGGGTTTGTTGCTTTTAGTCTTTCCGCTCTTCAACCGACCTGTCTGACATGATAGGACCTTGAAGAACAGTTGTTCCAGCCAGTATAGCTCGGTTTCTTCGTCACGATAGGCAAACCCGACCACCACGTCAAAGTAGCAACAACGGTTGGGGTCCGCGTGACTGTCGTAACCAATGGTTGGAGACTCTTGGTGACATGGCTCAGAATCGATCACAATGGCGTAGGTGTATACGCTCTCTATCTTCCCTTAAACTAAGAGATTAAAATTGCTTCATATCTTTCTTTCTACTAACTAATTCTTTCTTCCTGTACTATATCCTTATTGCAATCTTTCTTTTATATATTACCACCTCTGATTTAACTACTTTTATGAATCCGGTGTCCATCTTGTTGTGTTAATGAGGTATGGCAACTTGGACCGATGCATAAATGTGCCTGGTCCTACGTTGTAGCTGACTGACTGACTACGCTGTTTATGAATGACTGAGTATGGTTGATATATTTGTGGCGTAAATCCGTTAAGATTAATCAATAAGACTGTATGTTAAGATATAGTTATGGAGAGCTTAGGAGCCTCATACTAAAACAATATAGATGCTCACTGCCTCCATCGCTGTTTTCCACTGGTTATCCAACTGAAGTCAGTTCATGATGTAAAATATCATACGGTTGGACGTTCTTCCAAAACATATATTTGTTTGCATTACTATTCTTCTATTAGATATCCGATAGTCTTTCAAGATGCCCACCCAATCATATGGGGAAATCAATTATCCCACTGACTGGTATCAGTGATCGCCAATGGTCACAGATAATGCGTATCGCCGCATTGCTACAACAACAATATTCCAGTCGCCAAGCTACTCTTTTAAAACGTTTAGATGTTACTGTACAAAGTTTTAAATGGTCAGATAAAGCGAAAGTGAGTTAATGTCTTAATGTTTTGGTTAAGTTTTTTAAAAATAATTTATTATAATTTATCATAATAATACTAATGTACAAAAATAACTCGTGAAAAACTGAATTCATTTTTAAAAGTGAAAATATACTTATTAAGTTGAATGTTTTCAGTGAGGTGGATTTCACCGTTTGTGATAGTAACCATTGGAGAATCACTAATGACTCCCATTTTAAGCCTTGCCTGATAAGACCTCATTTTATTGAGTTACACGATCATCAGAACTCAATCTGGAGTGCCTTAATAAAATAACGGATGACAGTATAACGCGTATTCTTTGAAGTATTATCATTTTGAGATGTGATCATAAGCATTGAATTTCAAGTCCGAGTCCCAACTCGTGCTACTGATTGTAATTGAGTAGGTTTGCAGTAAAACATTTACAGCAAACAAGTGGCTTCTTCAGGCACACTGCATTATCACAGACAGAAGAAATGGTCATATGATCTCACTCTTGTTATGCGATTTTCGGGTGTTGATAGAAGAGCTTGAGAAACTAGGGAGTTAGCACTCTAAAATGTTATGTTCTTGTGGCCTGTCAGTTATCATTGCCGATTGAGGACACTGACTTACTGACCAAGCCAATAACACATAAACCTGTATAAGCAGCCTAGAGTCCTTTCTGAGTTCTTATTGGTCCACCACGATAGTAGCTTGTCTCATAACCCAACCGGTTTTGTCCAGAACACCAATATCAACGTCCGTTATACGAATAATATATTTCAGACATACTGGGTATATATATAAACAAACCAGACCGCATCATACCATAAGTAGAAAACAACAGTTATAAAAGATAAAGTCAAAAATTGGCTGTGATTGTGACTGTCACTAATAAATTGGAAATATCTTAAGAATGATAAATCGTATAATAATAGTCAATAGGTCCAATAAAAGCTCATAATAGAAGGAATGTGAATATACATATAATATAGTTATTTAATAGATACAAAATAAGAATATATATAACAATAGTTCACAAATAGATCCTAGCGGTTACTATTAACTTATTTTCCGTCCAGGTATAACACAAAACCCAAAACACTTACATAAAGTTCATATGTAACCGAGCTCTTTAATTTTGTGGTCATACTTTCAGGTCGATATGATCATCAATGATGATTTAATTCATTTTCAGATTTCCCTGAAAATATTTCACATAGTAAAGATATTTAGGAAATCCAAAACACATATCTCTCCCAAGACAATGCAGATCACATTTCTATTCCTGAAAATTATCTCATGGGACATCAAATAGTGAAGTAACCATACCATTAACACCCACTGTCAAACAAAATAAGTTGATCTGTTAAAATATATACAACCACAGCTGCCTAGAAAACCTAGTCGTCAACGGAAATCCATTAGTTCGAATCTGTAATTCATCATTGAAGTAGTTGAGTGTACTAGCCCTTTCATTTATGTTGGAATTCCCGTTACGCCTAATGAATAATGGATTACTAGTATTTCTGAATATGGCTTACGTGGCTTTTACTAACCTGTATTCAAATGGCGATATCGGTTTCCGTATTTAGAAGATTCAAATCATGCTCTACTTCGAACATGTATTTATTTGCGTCTTATTGGGCGGAGAAAAGCTATAGCAAGAAAACTCCTTCGAGTTCAACCTAATCAATCAGGAAGTTAAGCATATATTCCAGACATGATTAGAAAAGTTGTTCAGCCATGAGAGGGATATCCATCTTGAGGCAACTTGACGTGATATCCAAAAACTGTAGAAACTAGTGATTTCTACAGGTAATTTAAACAAAAGGTTAAGAAAAGTTCGGGGATTTCGGTGGGATCTGTTGGAGTGTGATAGATGCTCAGGAAGCCATTCCGTCTGACTCCGAACACGATGACGAGTGGAGTCAGCTTGGACGTGGGTTAATCAAGAGCTTACACAATAATCGTGAGTAGTGGTGGTTTGTGAAGGCAGAAGAAATGGAAAAAGCATCAACGATATGTAGCAGCAGACAAATGTTAAGACTTATCAAGGAAACGGGTATTGGAAATTTGGTTTTTAGTGAGACTATCTCAGATAAAGACGGTAATTTTATTCATTCTCAATCCTGGTAATCGAACCGATGTGCAGAACACTTTAAGAAACAGTTCAATCGGCCTTTAATCACTCAGTTACCCAATATCTCGAAGCTACCTGAACGTCAAACTTATGTAAGTCCTTCGACTCTTAGTGAAGTTAGAAGGCTATAAGTAGTCGAAAGCACGACAGAGTTGCCCCTAAATGCCCTGGTATGGCCGAGAGTGGGGTGGGCCCTCGCTTTCGAAATGCTCTCACACGGCCACGCGTATACAGCCTTTGCCGGGGAAGTCCTACTCAGTATCTTCTCGTGGCGGGGGTGTTGTTTACAAAAATGAGAGGACGAAAAGCAAATGTCCGGCGCTTTGACCGGATCCCAAACCAATGGTGCACATGGGCTCCAGTATCCTGAGAGAATAAATGGTGTCAGTCAGTCAGTAACAACGTAGAACTTCGTACGTACGTATAGCAGTTCGAGTTGCCACACATTAGCACAGAGATGCAGTTGTCGACTCAAATCCCGTAGTGGTAGAGGTAGTAAAAGTATAAGCAGTATTCGGAAACATTAGGGCTTGAGGATGTTATTCAAGGAGTATAATACAGTGAAATAAATTTGGAAAGAGGAAAAAGGGACATGAAAAATTCAGAAGATTAGAACTTGGGAGAACATAAAGAGTGGATGCACCTGCGCCATTGCAAACGGGTTTTAGCCATGTCATTCAGGGTCCCTGCTTCGGTTTGGCACCCGGGCAGTATCACAGCCCACACACACAAATATGGTGTGGCGCATATATATTTGGTGCCCTCTTGTACCGATATTTATGTGTTGAAATAAATAAATGAATAGATACATTCAGGGTCTATCCATCAGTTTCTATCATCTCGCAGACCCCAACCAGGTAGTCTACACCTACCAACATGGCTCAGTCCACTTGTCAGTGACTTCATGGATTTGTGCTATGTTTTGATCTGACCGCCCCTAGCTTTCTTCCATTCTACTCCTATACCACTGAAGGTCGCATGTCGAGGCAGTCGGTGGTTGGGCATACGTAACACGTGTCCCAGTCATCTCAACTGACGAAGTTTCACTACTTCATCAATTGATTTACCATCCTTACCTAGTACCCGTTTCCTAACAACCACATTAGTTACTCGATGGTTCCAGGATATACGAGCGATGTTTCCAAGGCACTTATGATTGAATGCCGCTTTAAGGTCGAGAAATACTACGACTATGGGGCGTTTGAATGTGTGTCTGTGTTCTAGAACCCGAATTAGTGTGAATATGTGGTCTATACAACCACGTCCAGGTCGAAAACCAGCCTGATTTTCTCTAGTCTGTTCTTCACGAACTTTGGTTAGACATCGAAGTATTATTGACGCTAATATTTTAGACACTATATTAGTCAAACTGATTGTCACAAGGGAACTTTTGTCCTTTCTTATAGACTGGCATAATCAGTGATTGAGACTAGTCAGATGGGATTACGTCCAGTTCCCAAATTCTACCTAAGACCTCAGTTAATCTCACTGCTAATACTGAACCACCATCCTTAAAAATCTCAGGAGTAAACCTGTCAGGGCCTGCTGCTCTCCCTCGCTTCAGATTTCCTATGGCTTTTTCAACTTCGTAAAGAGACGGAGGACCTAATACCGGTTTTCTTAACAAGTCTGAATAGTTGTCTGCTATTAGCTATTGCCGCTGAATAAATGGCGTGTGAACCAATCGTTGGTCACCGACTACCATGGGACTGCATCTCCTTACGATGCTCCACTGCCTTGTGGGTTAGACTTTCAAGGTCAAAGGCTCGGGGTGTGGTCCCCTAAGAAAGCCACCTGCTTCGGTTTGGGCACCGGTTCAGTATCACAGCCCACGCACAGATATAATGAAAATAATGACATCCACTGAAAACTCTTCTCGCTCCGATTTACAGTCAAACAGTTCACATCATTATTATTATTACGTCATTTATTCACTCTCTTTTATTCCCACTTTATATATCCTTATTTTTTGAGTTATACAGCAGCTCGCCTATGGTGGAAGCTCGGTTTTATCGAAACGTTCTCGAGTCACTGCCTGGTTGAAAATTGTATGCTACCACCAAATATCAATACTGAAGCAGTTTTTCTGAAACCACATGCACCATTCAAACTGGCTGCCTTCAACTTTCGCACACTTATGCAGGTCGGACAACAGATAGGGCTGGCTATGTCTTTGGAAAGTCTTAATATCAACGTTTGTTGTCTATCCGAGACCCGTATTCAAGACTCTGGTGAAGTACTACAAATTCGCTCAGATTGATCACATCACGATCAGCTACCGCTGGCGTGGTTGTGTACAAGACTGCCGCTCCTTTTTGAGTACCTATCTGGACTCTGACCATGCCTTGGTCTGCGCAAATCTTGCCTTACCTTTCAGTGGCCAACGAAGTGACCACCACCAAAGGATTGATGTCAGCAAGTTGGTTGCAACTTCTGTTGCTGGTAAGTATCGGACCGAGCTTAGCTTCTTGGCTAGCTACCATTCCACCGAAAAGTATAGATGAGTATTGGTAGCAACTTCACGACGCCATAAAAATGGCGAGTAAAGCCACTTTCGGCTTTGCGAAACGTCTCGCTTATAAGCACTGGGTTTCATCTGGTTCCTTACAACTCATTGAAGCCACTCGGTCTACTCCGGGTACTCGTGAGTTTGACCACAAACGACGACTGGTACGTAACGAAATTGAGAAAAGCTTGTGTAAGGACCGCGAAGTCTGGTGGTCGGAGCGTGCTGCATCTGGTAACTACCGGAATCTCTTCCAACTCATCCGAGCCACTGGCAGCAAAAAGTCTGGTGTGAGCGAAACAATCTGCGAGGATGATGGGATGCCAATCACTAACATCCATCGACGTCTTGGACGATGGGCAGAATTTTTCGAAGGGCAGTTCAACTGGCATGCTGCTCCGGCAACACCGGTCAGACTGTCCTGCCCTCCATGGCCGGTGACGACTGATCCACCAAATGAGGCGGAAGTCCGCAAGGAACTCCAACTCTTGAAGCGTTACAAATCACCTGGCGCAGATGACTTACCTCCGGCTCTTTTTAAAGATGGTGGTGACTTTTTGACTAAGGAATTGACGACGTTGTTTACAAAGGTTTGGGAACTAGAGAGTGTGCCAACGTCATGGAATGAGTCGATAGTTGTCCGTACGTTTAAAAAGGGTTCACATCGTTCCTGTAGAAACTTTCGGGGGATAAGTCTACTTCCGATTGCGTCCAAGCTATTGGCTTCCGTCATACTTCGTAGGTTGTTCAAAACCCGAGAAAGATTGACTCGCGAGGAGCAGGCTGGGTTTCGTTCTGGTCGAGGATGTATTGATCATATCTTCACCCTCCGCCAAATGTTAGAACACCGCCATACTTATCAAAGGCCAACAATCGTAGTGTTTCTTGACATCAGGGCTGCCTTCGATTCGTTGGACAGGACTGTTCTCTGGGATTGTCTATTGAAGAAGGGTGTGCCTGAGAAGTTTATTAACATCCTAAAAGCCCTATATAAAAACACCTCAGGCAGAGTGAGGGCATACAACCACCTCTCTCCATTGTTCCATTCGAGTAGTGGGGTTAGGCAGGGTTGCCCAATCTCACCATTCCTCTTCAACTTTGCCATCGATGACATTCTGGAAACAGCTCTGATGAATGTAAGTAATGGTGGTGTGGATCTGTTGCCTGGAGAAAGAATTCTCGACCTTGAGTATGCAGACGATATTGTCTTACTGTGCGATAATGCCCAAGGCATGCAATCCGCACTTAATCAGTTGGCAATCAGTGTCCGTAGGTATGGTATGTGCTTTGCACCTTCGAAGTGCAAAGTACTTCTACAAGACTGGCAGGATCGTAATCCTGTACTCACCCTGGATGGTGAGCAGATAGAAGCAAACGAGAAGTTCGTGTATCTGGGTAGCTGCATAAGTGCTGGTGGGGGTGTGAGTGATGAGATCAATGCACGTATAGTGAAAGCCAGAGCGGCTTATGCCAATCTGGGTCATCTTTGGCGCCTTCGTGATGTTAGTCTGGCTGTAAAAGGTCGGATCTACAACACATCGGTGAGAGCAGTTTTGCTCTATGCTTGTGAAACCCGGCCTCTCCGAGTTGAGGACGTTAGACGACTCTCTGTGTTCGATCATCGCTGTCTCCGAAGGATTGCTGACATTCAGTGGCAACACCATGTCAGTAGTGCAGAGGTTCGGCATCGTGTGTTCGGGCACAGAGATGATAATTCAATTGGTGTCACCATCTTGAAACACCGACTTCGGTGGCTTGGACATGTTCTCCGAACGTCGTCCCAGAGAATTCCACGTCGTGCATTATTTGCCGACTCTGGGACTGGTTGGAAGAAGCGGAGAGGTGGTCAGTGCATGACATGGTGTCGTGGCATGAAAGAAAGCTGCAAAGGACTGGCTTGTGTTGGTCCTTCACGACTCCCTGGTTGGGGTCTGAGAGATGGTGCTACACAGTGGCTAGAGACGTTATCAGATATGGCTCAGAATAGAAGCCAGTGGCAATCCTGCTGTAACCTTCTTTTACTTTCTTCATAAAAAGTGGTTGTGTCTCCCTTACCTGAAAGATTTCTTCCGATTGTACCTTTGCGTTCCCTGATTACTAGCACATTACCTTACACCAATCTCTTCGTTATTGTCCTCTCTTTTTTTGTTACACTCCTTAGCTTTTTTTTCTTTCTTTCTTTGTATTCCTCTCGAATTTTCATTGTTTTGTGTGGCGCATATATATTGGCGCTCTCTTGTACCAATATTCATGTGTCCAAATAAATAAATAAATAACAACCATCATCGAAAATGTATAAGTATTTATAAACAGTTGTCTACACAAGATACTCGATGACCGATGTTGACCGGATATCTGTCATATCTAGAGCTTAGATTCTTAATATACGGCGTTCGTACCAGCTTCTACATTGTGCCTGATGTAAGAGCGAGTATACTGGCCAGTGATCCCCTGCCTATTGTTTGATGGTCAGGAAACAGTCTGTAAATGTAAATAATTTACTGATATCTTCGAAACATTGTTCTTGTATAATAGAACAATCGGATAAGTAGTGCTAAGTGTTAAAGGGAGGGTACTAATATGGGAATGGTAGACCATTAGTGAGGGTATGGAATTTCACAGGCCAAACTGATTAAGATGGCAGTATGTGTCCCATCGGTTGGTGAATTAATTGGCAGTTATAATATCCGAAATCCCAGCCTAGGTACCATTCGGTAATCGTAGCTTATAATTGGGAACTTTAGTTGAGCTGTGTCAAATTGAACCGATCTGTATTTGTACCAGGTTCTACAGTTTTTATAGCTTGTGTCAATTACTTCCATAATTTTTAAAATACGATTCTCACCAGGATTTTTGTTTAAAGTACTACTTTGATTTCTGTTTTTTACTCTGAATTTTCGTAATGTTTTTCTTATCTGACAGTGTAGTTTGGATAAAATCACTACTGTATATAATCCTATCCGTGAGAGAATGGGTCTAATTCCATATCCTGGCATTCCTAATGTCTTAGCTGTACGTGACAACATGATATTGCAAATTGAAAAGACAAGTGGTACAAGTGCACGTCGTTATACATCATGTGAATTGAACAAAATTTTAATTGGTAAAGTAAGTGTAGTTTTTGGCAATTAATGACGACAAAATGTGATTTATTTTCTATTGTCGTTGCTCACTGGTTTGTATTGTTTCTGGGTTTAATCATCATATCCAATGCCTCGCAAAGTACTATAGATCTTTTTCATTTACACTTGTTTAACAGGTACGCGACATTCATAAAGTTCTGAAGGACAACCAATGAGTGCTGACCTGTACGTTGGGAGATTCTCAAGCTATTAAGGGTTCATGTGAGATCGAATTTGTGTGAAACTAATGGATTCGTGATGCATCACGACAGCCCGCCTAGACATTCAAAGATGCTTATCCTGAGGGTTTCTGGTCCCATAATTCGAGCAGTACGCCTTGTGACCTTCTCTATTAACCAGACTTAGCTCCTTACAACTGGTTTCTCTCCATTTGTTAGATGGGTAAATGCCGACATAGGCGAAGCAAGGTGCGAACGTAGTACCTCTAACGGTTGAAATTCGAGCGTTCTACGTTCACTTTAAGATGATTATATCTCTTTCAATAATGAAATCTGTCGACCATGGTAATATTTGTCTCTTCTGGTTTCATGTGAATTACTGTGTTAAAAATAACACTCAGCTTGTCATCCTTGGAAAAAACTTCGAATACACTATTGGAATTACTTTTGAAAATCAGTGTTTCTATAGCTGACACATACAACCGCTAATTCTGATACTTCACTTTACCACAGTTGCTAACGCCTTTTTATTTCAACTGAGAATAGTACTGATCTATTATATATTTTTTGTCTATTTTATGGGTCCCTGATCGAGGTGGTAGGGCATGGGAGTTGGAACCGCCTCCACCTGAAATGCCTGCTTTTAAACAACGTCATCCAGATGGAGGTGGTGTAACACAGAGAGGTGGTCGCGGCGGTGGTGGCGACGGTCGTTATGGCAATCGTGGGGGTGTTCAGGGTGGTACTAGTGGTAAGCGTTCAATTACTCTTCTGTATATGTAGTTTGTTTAAATTCTGCGTATGTATTGACGTAAACCTTTTATTGTCTTTTAATGGAGCATTACTTTTAATTGATTTATTCTATAGGATATTGCTGAAATAAAAAACAGTGATAGCAGTATTGCAAGTTTACTCAACAATTTACGGTTTGCAATCTATAGTCTATTCAACTAAATCACTAGTCATACATGCCTGTATAAACATGGTAACGTATCAAGTAGTCTTGAATAACTGTTCGACTGCAGCTATTGAACAGTTGAATAAATTAAATACAAATAGACAATTGTTAATCAGTAGTTGAACATGCCGAACATATGACTTTGGATGAAGAGCGTGGTTTCTATGAGGACATCTAAGTCGAAGTTAAACAAGTGAGGTGACTTCGCAAATAAAAGAGTAGGATTCTATTTATTAGGCCTCATGTGTAAACCTCACTCGATCTATTTTGATCCAACTAGTTGACAGTGTTACAACTAAATCTCACACAAGAATGTTTTAAAACCAAGTACATGAACTCATATTTGGTAAATGTTCTACAGGATTAAAGTCTGTTAGTAGATTGCTTCAATTACTAGACAATAGCTAGACAATTATTTGGAGATTAGGGAGCACTAAATTATTGTCTCGTCCCAGTATGAAACTTTGTGTAATCAAACCTAAAATCCTTCAAGCCTTTCGGTGATCACGTTGGCTGTCTAACTTGAACCAATTCCTCATGTAAATTGTTCTCAAATACCAAATTGTTTATGAACCCTCTATACCAACCAGTGCAAATTCTTTGTATATTTACATGTACTGTTATACACAAATCATTTGTATGTACCAGTTCTTTGCAAATCATTGTTGTGCTGAACCTCTTTTTGTTTTACATTTCCTCATCATTCTGTTTTTTAAAATGATATTTTTGCTGTCTACAAAATTTCCCGACTTCTATCACCTTTTAACAAATATCATCGAGATCCCTGCACAGTAAATATCATCCATCCTAAGCCTCATAAACATTTGTATTCAATAATTTGTGAACACTTGCATCTTATTATTTTATTTAAACGCATAAGCATTGGTACAAGGAGGCACCACAAATAGATAAGCGCCACATAGACCATTCGATTTGTATGAGGGCTGGGATACTTCCCGGGTACGCAGACTGAAGCAGGCGGTTTTCTTAGGGGGCCACACCCGGAGCCTTCAACCTATAGGTCTGATCCACAAGGCAGTGGAGCATCGTAAGGAGATGCAGTCCCATGGTAGTCGGTGACCAACGATTGGTTCATACGCCATTTATTCACTCAGGATACTGGAGCCCATATGCATCATTGGTTTGGAGTCAGGGTTTTCCAACTCCCCTAGGTGTACTCTCCGTGTCCACCAACCCGGTTAAAGCGCCAGACATTCGCTTTTCGTCCTCTCTACTTCGTAACAAACAGTAATGCCACGAGAAGGCAGTGAGTAGGACTTCCCTCGCAGAGGCTTTATACGCGTGGCCATGTGAGAGCATTTCGAGAGGGAGAGCGGACTCTCCCCACTCTCGGCCGTACCAGGGCATTTGGAGGATCGATGATCATTGCTAAAATAGTTAGGAACAATTTATTTAGAAACAATTAAATCATCGTTTGTTCAAACCATAGCTAATAAATCCTGATTACACACAATCACCTTCAATGCAACTGCATACTCAAAATAAATTACTGACAATTTTTCGTTCTGTTTACTGTATTAAAGAAAGTATGATTATCAGCTGTAAGAATTTGTATTTCTCATTAGTAATCACCAGAAAAGAATTTGAGTAATTCCTGTTAACGTATGAATCCTATAAGCGGGTGCTTCGATGATTCCCGACCGTAGCTGCTACCTTGACGCGGTGGTCGGGTTTGCCTATCGTGATGACCGGACCGAACTATATTGGCCGGAACATATGTTCCACCATGCCAGGCAGGTCGACTGGAGAACGGTAAGACTAAAAGCAGCAACTCAAGGTCTGAGGGCGAAGTCGTACTGCTGACTGTAGGGGTGTGTGACGTCATTAAGGTGTTTCCCTCGGGCAATCATTACCGCTGCCTTTTCCATCTCTCTTGCTATCGCTACCCACCACTGTTCACGATCACTGCGTAGGCTTCTTGTCAGCTTGCGCTTAAGCTGACTATGATCTTCGTTATGTTCAGAGCCAGATGGAATGAGTTTTCGAGCGTCTATCAGTGCGGTAGACGCTGTTGAGATCCAGTTTTGCAAGAAACAGACGGTTATATTATCTGAGCATAGCTGCAACAGACGGTCGCCATTATCTGTTCTTTGAGGCACGACGCTATACGATCCACCGAGGTGTCATTCCCTTTCGCTTAATTTACCTACTTGAGCAATAAAGTTACCAGCCACTTTTGCTACATCAGAGCGCCTAGCTTTTCGGAGAAGGTCGGAAAGCTTTCTGTAAAACTCATCTTTTACATCATCTGAGCTGCAGTCAGTGGGAGAATAGGCAGAGTCAACGACGAGTGTCCCTATCTTTTCGGATCCTTACTGTTCCGTTTAGTCGGACAACGCGAAAACGACTGTCTACTGGGATCCAGTCTAAGAGAGATAGTTCTGTCCTAGGACTCAATGCTATACCTACGCCGGCGAGGCCACGAGAAGCAGTTTCACGGCTTCCAGATACCTGAAGTGTGAATCGAGTTGGTTCTTTATTTTGACATGGTGAGGTCAAATGAATGACGCTACTCGCGTCCTGTATGCGAGTCTCGGAGACGCGGCACACATCGATGGTGCGAGATTCTAAAGTCCTAGCTAAGGAAGCCTGTTTTCCTATTTGGCACAGTGTTTGGACGTTAAGAGCTCCTACGTGTAGTTTAGAGCGTGGTTTCAGGAGACCAAGAATAACGTTCCACGTACTCGAATCGTTTGCTCTAGCGGTGCGAGGTGATAAAGGGACGCGAGAAGGGTTAGTCGTGGAGATAAGAGAGGTATTAGGAGGTGTAGGAAGGATTTGAATGTGACCAACTTGTTCTCGTGTGCTGTTACGGGTATGAGGGCTGATGTCACTTCCCGGCTGCCCACACCGTGGAAGGGTATTTTCTGAGGAACCTGAAAAGGAAGTTGGATTAATGTTGGCCTTAACGACCTGGGAGCGTGACCGCAGAACCCAAGGGACAACTGCTTGAGACCGGTCGCGCACGACCTTTTCATGGGAGGTTTTCAATGTGTTAGCTCCGTTCTTCAAAGGGCCTTGCCGCCGGATACGGAAATCCGTGAGGTAAGGTGAGGTGTAACATTTTTAGGGTCGACCTTTTCTAACCGCTTCCTTCCTTTTGAGAAGCCAGCATCGCTGCAGATACTGGTTGCCCGAGGGAAACACCTTAATGACGTCACACACCCCTACAGTCAGCAGTACGACTTCGCCCTCAGACCTTGAGTTGCTGCTTTTAGTCTTACCGTTCTCCAGTCGACCTGCCTGGCATGGTGGAACATATGTTCCGGCCAATATAGTTCGGTCCGGTCATCACGATAGGCAAACCCGACCACCGCGTCATGGTAGCAACTCCTCTTCACTTGCTTGTTTATGTGTATTATAGTGGCTTTCTTCTCTATTGTTACACAACTCAAATATTCTATAAATCTGTAGATATTATTGGGTAAATGTAAGCTATATATCCATTGATGTAAAAGGATCTTTAATCGGAAGTTATAATAAGTAATCCTAGAGAAAAATAAATGTATCGAAACAAAATGAAACCATCAAATCTCAAATGATATCATTGAGTGCTTACATACTTATGTATAGATGGGGATTTAGGTAAATGATTCTGCCTATGACGACAATAAGAGCTTTCTAATCTAACTATCCACTTCGTGGAATATACGACCACTAGAAACAACAAGTAGTTGTATGCACTGAAAAAATCCATAGATTTACTACACATCACCTCATTCGCTGAAAACAAATCCATTGGCAAAATGTATGCTAAACATACATTTGTTAATTACGTCAAATACTTAAGTTGTTGCTTTTACTTCCTTATACACGACAAGGTTATAGTTGTGATGAATCTCGGAATGGTGG